CAGCTCAGGTGCCTGAGGCAGGGGGATCACAAGTTCAAAGCCAGCCTCAGCAACTAAGTGAGACACTGTCTCTAAGTAAAATGTAAAAAGGGTTGAGGATGTGGCTCAGTGGTTAAGTGCCCCTGGGTCCAATCCCCAGTATCAAAAAATAGAATAAAATAAAACAAAGAAATAAGCACGATCAGTGTTGGGGTTGTGGCTCAATGGTGGAACGCTTGCCTAGCACTTGTGAGGCCCTGGGTTCGATCCTCAGCACCACATAAAAATAAATAAATAAAATAAAGGTATATTTTTTTAAAAAAGGAATAAGCACAATAAAACGGTTAGGCAAACAATAATCTATAAAATATTCTAGCAAACAATAACAGAATACAGATTCTTCTCAAGCACAAGGACCTTCAGCAAGATTTACCAAGAGAAACAGAAGACTCAGATGACTAGAGGACATCACTACCAACCTTACAATAATAAAAAGAATTATAGAACAATACTATAAACAACAAAATACAACACCCTTTCAGGATAAAAACACTATAAACAAATTAGACCTAGGAGAGAACTACCTCAGGGACCCATAAAGTCCCAAGTTTCCAATTCTATAAACATAATAAGAAATTCAAATATTATTTCAAGGTTACCATAAGTGATCTATATATTGCTCATTTTTATAAATGTTCTACCTGGGATGATGGGACAAAATGGGTAATGATGAGTCTGGGGCTCTCCCCTTAAGATATGAACAATATAAACAAGACAAGGACATGCACTCTCACCACTTCTGTTCAACCAAATACCAGAGGTTGTAGCCAGGATAATTAATTAAGAAAAAGAAAAAATAGGCATCCAGATTGAAAAGGAAAAAGCACAACTAATTCTGCAAATAACTGATTTACCCTTAATAAACAAAAGAACTTGCTTAGCATGTGCAAGACCCAGGGTTTGATTCCATTTCTAAATATATCAAATTTATTCTAAAATATTGTTTTCCTTTTAACAATCGCACACTCACAAAAAGCACAGAACACATTCTGAAAACTGCAAAACAGTTTTGAAAGAAATTGAATATCTTGGGCTGGGGTTGTGGCTCAGAGGTAAAAAGCTCGCCTAGCACGAGTGAGGCCTTGGGTTCGATCCTCAGCACCACATAAAAATGAATAAATAAATTAAAGATATTGTGTCCAAATACAACTAAAATAAATATAAAAATAATTGAATATCTAAATAAATTCAGACATTCCACATTCAAGGATTAGTGGACATATTGTAAAAGTGGTAATAGTCCACAATTTGGTCTAGAAATGAAACACAATCCTATCAGAATACCAGCTGACTTCTTTGAAGAAATTGTTAAGTTGATCCTAAAACTCATGGAAATTCAAGGGACACATAATAATCCAAACAATTTTGAAATATAACAATAGAGTTGGAAAATGCACATTTTATCATTTCAAATCTCACAAGGCTATTTCCTAACATAAAGTACTAACATAAAGTACTTTCTAACATAACTGTACTAACATAAAGACAGAACCATGGAATAGAATTTTAAGTCCACTGTGGAGCCAACCTAGATGCCCTTTGATAGATGAATGGATTAAAAAAATGTGACATATATACACAATGGAATATTACTCAGCAATAAAAGAGAATAAAATCATGGCATTTGCAGGTAAATGGATGGAGAGTTAGAGAAGATAATGCTAAGTTACCCAATCCCCCAAAAAACAAATGCCGAATGTCTTCTCTGATATAAGGAGGTTGATTCATAATGGGGTAGGTAGGGGGAGCGTGGGAAGAATAGATGAACTCTAGATAGGGCAGAGGGGTGGGAGGGAAAGGATGGGAGCATGGAGTTAGAAATGATGGTGGAATGTGGTGGACATTACTATCCAAATGTATAAAGACACAAATTGGTGTGAATATACTTTGTATACAACCAGAGATACAAAAAATTGTGCTCTGTATGTATAATAAGAATTGTAATGCATTCCGCTATTTTATACATACATATATATATATATATATAAAAATTAAAAATAATAATTAAAAAAAATTCTAAGTCCAGAAATAAAACCACACAGCTATGGTCCACTAACTTAACAAGAGTGCCAAGATCATTCAATGAGGAAAAAATAGTCTCTTTCAAATGGTACTAGGACAACTGAATACCCACATGTAAAAGAATAAAGTGAGACCCTGACCTCACACCATATGAAAAAAACAAAGTGGATCAAAGCCTAACTGTAAAAGCTAGAACCATAAAACTCTTCAAGAAGAAATCATAGGGGTAAATCCTCATAATCTTGTATTTGTCAATGGATTCTTGGATATGACACCCAAAGTGAAAGCAATAAAAGAAAAAAAAATTTGATCTGGGCATGGTGGTTCACTCCTGTAATCCCAGTGACACAGGAGACTGAAGCAGGAGGATTACAAGCTTGAGGCTAGCCTCAGCAACTGAGTAAGACCCTATCTCAAAATAAAATTTAGAAAGGAATGGGAATATAGCTCAGAAGCAGAATATTCCTAAATTCAACCACCAGTACTACACACACCCTAAAAAAGATTTACTATTTAATTCAAGCAGTCCATTCCTATGTAAATACCCAAGAGAAATGAAAACAAATGTGCACAGAAGAACTTGTACACCACTGTTCCTGAGAGCATTACTCTTAATAGCCAAAAGGAAGAAACAACCCAAATACCCAAATAAATGTGGCTGGGTATGTTGGTACATGCCTATAATCCCAGAGGCTCCGGAAGCTGAGGCAGGAGGATCCTAAGTTCAAAACCAGCCTCAGCAACTTAGCAAGGTCCTAAGCAACTCAGCAAGACCCTGTCTCTAAATAAAATATAAAAAACGACTGGGGAAGTGATTTAGTGGTTAAGCACACCCTGAATTCAATCCATGGTACAAAAAAAAAAAAAAAGAATATATGTACCAGACTGATAACTAATATAAGGGGAAGATGAGAGGTGATAGCTAAAAGGTATGAATTCCTTTTTGAGGTGATGAAAATCCTATAATTGATTGTGGCAGTGGCTTCTGAGTATACAGAAATCTATGTATCAACTAAAAACTATTGAACTGTACATCTTTTTTTTAAATAGACTTTTTAGTTGTTGATAGACCTTTATTTTATTTATTTATATGCGGTGCTGAGAATCAAACCCAGTGCCTCACACATGCCAGGCAAGTGCGCTACTGCTAAGCCCCAGCCCCAGCCCCTGAACTGTACATCTTAAATGGGTGAATTATATGGCATATGAATTATACCTCAGTAAAGCTGTTACTAAAATAATAACAGGAAGCTTTCCTTTCATGATCATAGTCCAGAACTTTAAAAATAAATAAATAAATAGAAGTATCGGGCTGAGGTTGTGGCTCAGAGGTAGAGCACTCCCTTAGCGTGTGTGAGGAACTGGGTTCAATCCTCAGCACCACATAAAATAAGGATATTGTGTCCCCCTACAACTAAAAAATAAATATTTTTTAAAGAATAAGAGTATTTATCTGCATGTGGTGGTACACACAGTAACTTGGCAACTGAGGCAAGAGCATCACAAGTTAAGGTTAGTTTAGGCAACTTAGATCATGTCTCAGAGTAAATAAAAAGGGCTGGGGTATATCTCAGTGGTGGAGTGCTTACCTAGCAAACATGAGGCCCTAGATTCAATCCCCAGTACTGGGATGGGGAGGGGGAATTAAATTTAAAAAAAAAAAAAAAAAAACCCACATGTAGCATTTAAATTCTTTTAGGATCAACTGCTATCACTCATTTCCTACATGTTTGAGGGGGGCGGCCCACTGGGGATTAAACCCAGGGCTTCTTGTATGCTAGGCAAGCACCCTACTACTGAGCTACATCCCAGTCCTAAACTATATCTCTTCTTGCTAAATTGTCCAGGCTGACCTTGAACTTGTTATCCTCCTGTTTCAGCCTCTTAAGTAGCTCAGATTACAGGAACACATCACTGCACCCCAAGACTTTTCAACAATTTTAATAATTCATGTATACTGCACCATTCACTGTCTTTTCTCTCTATCCCCCATCAGTTCCCAGCCTAAGAAACTGTTCTTGGCAATACAGCTTTTCTGTTGCCAAAGCCAATGGATCCTTTCCTAATCTTTCTAGACATTTGCCAATTCTCAACCTGTAACTACCAAGCCAGACCCCTCAATGAGAATTGGTGCACTGAAGACGACCAGAAATGAGTTGAGATGGGTATGAAAAAGGATGAGCGATGCCATTTCCTATGCTCACCTTAGGTGCTATCAACAAATAAATCCCATCATTCTGTGTCGTCGGCCACATCTCCTTTTAGCTCAGAACTGGATCTGGGCCTCTGTGCTATCTCCCTACTGCAGTCCTGCAACATCACCTGATTTTTAACAGCTACCTCCTACCCAACATATTACCACTTCAATCAGAAAACATCTTCTCCGGATATGCCAGCAAAAAAGAACATACTCATTTTCTTGCCAAATGTGCGAACTAGATATACCCCACCCCCTGCCACGCATAATCTCAGCAGCACCATTGTCTACTCAGTTCTCAGAGTCAGAAACCTGAGTCATCCCTGGCTCCTGGTCACTCCCACAGGCCAACCTCCTGTTCTTGTACTTCGAAGGCTCTCCTCTCACCCTAGATTATAGTGCCTATGAACCTCTGAAGTCCAACCACTGCTCCAGCAACAGGGGCCCTGTATGTTTCTCCATCTTTTTTCTGAACCTAATCTGGTGGTTGGCCCCTATGGAAATGGTGGTTCCCATATCCCTTGGTGCACTGGTCTTGAAGGCCCAGCTCAACATCACCTTCTCCCAGGCCATGTCCTCATCTCCTGGCTTTCTCTATGTAACCACAGTGATTGCACTAGACTGGAACTGTCTTTATCTATTGTCCCCTGCCTTCCCCCTCTCCCCATTACAACCACAGGACATCCCCAGAGGCCTCAATCAGTTCACCAATAGGAGGGAGAGGCCACCTATGGCCACTCACCCTGCGGTTCCGGTTGTGATCCATGGTCTTGAGATGCTTCTGGATGATCCCAAACTGCATGGGAATAAAGAGGTCACAGGCAGCACAATGGGCTGCCTCCACCTTCTTCACAAAATGCTCCATGGCAATTTCTGTGGGGGGAGGAGGGAGGAAGAAGGGAGTCACCATTGGTCCTAAGTGCCTAAGACAAACCCAGAAGTCTAGGAAAAATATCAGCCCAGCTTTTCAACATGATTATCTATATGGGACTGAGGCTTTTCTCGTTCAATCTTCCAAAGAAACAAAGGGATGTCACAATCCTGTATGGAGAAGCAGAGGAGGGCAGGCCAAGGTGCTACTTGGTGGGCAGTGGGATAGAACCTCCTCACCTTGGGTCAGATCCTGATCTCTGTAAATCTGCTGGATCAGACCATCAAGGTCCTCCACAGTTTTTCGGAGTTCCTCTGTCTTTTTGGTTTTGTTAGTGACATACTCCTGCCAGAGACACGGAATTTCATGAGGGCTGCCCTGTGTCACCAGGGACCCAAAAATATCAAGAGTAGCTATGCTGCTCTGAGGCTTACCTGCAGAAAGTCAGCCGTCTGCTTAGGGAGCTTGGTGCCTACATACTTAAAGTGCTCCTTGTGGAACTTGCTGTCAAGGTGGCTGGCCATCTCATCCTCATAGAAGGTCCGGTATTTGCAGAGAGAACACACAAACTGGATCCTGCCACAGGAGGGAAACAAGCAGCTGAGGCTGCAAAGGTCCCAGGGAAAGGTGCTGCCGCCTCACCCAACCCAGCTGCGAGCCCTGAAACAGGGCTTGCTCACGGGCCTCTGAAGTGCGGTCCCAACAGAGGGACAGGCTGGGACCAGGAGGGTCGGGAGCAGAAAGGGCGAGTCTGCAGGCTGCAGTTACTGCAACGTAGGGGACAGGGGAGGAGCTCTTCCTTCCCATAGGCAGGAGGCCGAAGCCTGAGGCAGCAGCTGCTGCAACAGGCAAGGAGTCGCTGGAAGGTTGCCGGAGGGCCACTCTACCAAGGCTGGGCAGGAGCTTGTGCACTTGGCCCAGGTGGGAACCGGAAGGAAGGATGCCCTGGCTTGAGCCAGGTGGCCCTGAGGTGCAGAGTGGAGTACGCAGTCCCGAGGCAGGGCCCGAAAAGGTGCTGCATCTTCCTTCTGGGTTCTGGGGAACTCAAAGGCCCAGCCCATCCTCTGCTCAGAATGCTTGGGGGTGGTGTCGGGAGGGATGGAAGGCAAGCAGGCCTGGGCACCTGCTGCCTCATCTTCCTCTTCCAAGAAGAGACCAGTCTGAGCTGGAAGGAGGGCGCCTGCCCGGCCTGCCAGAGGGCAGCCTGGAGTCACCTGGGCGAGGTGCTCTGTCTGGGCCTGGTGTCCACAGCAGAAGCCGGGGGTCTGGGGCCTGGGCTGGAGCAGGCCGCCGTGGCAAGGGGCGGAGGAGGCCAGCCGCCACCGAGGCCTCGGGGCGGGTCCCTACCTCTGCCGGACGTCCTTATCTGGGCCACGGGGTCAGCTTTGTCTGGAGAGCCCAGGGGCCAGGCGCCGGCGAGGCTGAGGAAGGTCCAGCAAGAGCAAGAGTCTGAGGCGGAGGAGGCAAGCGCCAGTGCGGGAGCCCTGAGGGCAGACAGACCCGACCAAGGGGCGTGAAGGGCTCAGCCACAGACAGGCCCGGCCTGACAGGGCCGGCGGGTAGGGCAGAGGGCAGGCCCGAGGCTGCCATAGCCCACAGGTGCTGCCATCTCTCCTGAGCACGGCGGCGGCCTCTTGGCAGCTAGTTGGGGTGGCACAGGCGCCTTGGACCTTGAGTCTCTGATGAGCTGGCCCCCTCCCTCAGGGGCATCGGGCCCCCAGTGCACCTCGGGGCTCGTGCGCTGAGTGACCTAGCGCCGGAGCTTCTGGGCAACGGTGCCGAGCAGTGTCGGGTCTCAGGCCACAGATGCCAGCGGTCGCCAGGCGGCCACAGAGGGGCAGGGGATGAGTCAGGCCTTAGGAGCTGGGCCTGGCGGGAAGCAGGGTCCATGCACGGCCGAGCAGGTGGTGGCTCCCAAGGGAGGCCAGAGGGCGGCGAGATGGCAGAGCTATGGCCCTGCTCTCCTGGCGGCAGCCCCAGAGCGAGGCAGAGGCAAAGGGATGGAGGGAAGCTGGTTACCTTTCCACCATGCGGTCTCGCTGCCGCTTTTTCTGTTTGTCCTGGCTCTTCTTGCTTGCCTGCAACTTGCGTTTGGCCTGGCTACTCTCATCCTGGGTGATAAGGGCCCCTGTGGGAACAGAGGGGCACAATCACCAGTTTGGCTCTGCCAGGAAAGGGCAGGCCTAAGGCCTCTGGCTGAATCACCCGCTGTCCATTCCAGAGGGTCCATCTGAGAGCAGTTGTTTACGCAAGGCCTTTGGCCATGAGCAGGGCTGGATACCCTGGGCTGGGCAGGAAGTAGGTTTGGCCTAGGCGCCAGGAATAGGGAGATACACGCTGAACCCTCTGCTCTCCAGGATACCCTCACTCTCTGTGGAGTGGGCCATGGGGAAGCTGGAAGGCAAAAAGAAGCTGTCTTGGAGGGGACACTGGCACATGTTCAGAGGGGCCAGGTGGTGGGATGCAGGGAGGCCGCTCACAAGGCCCTGCCCACCCCCCACCGGGCACCGCGGCAACAGTAGGCTGAGGCTGGATTTGCTGGTAGGTACCTGCTGGCGCTCATCACTCAGATGGGGGGACACGGACTCCCAACAGGGGCTGGAGAGGCGCTAAGGGAGAGGACACGCAAACCACAGCCGTAAAAACTGCACCAAGGGTCCCAACTCAAGACACCAGCCACTGAGGACTCGGAATTGCACGTTACTGAGGGACCAATAGCAGGGATTGTGCCTAGGGGTCCCCACACTTTTGCTTGCTGCCCCAACCTGAAGGCAAAACCAATAATGCTAGACAGGGACAATGCCATCCACAGACTCCACCTAGGAAGAATAGGGTCAGGATAGGAAGGGGCAGGGGAGGAAGCAAAGTCCCTGCCAGCACATACCCAGCCCCACAAGGCAGGTCCCCAGCCAGCCAGCCAGCCACTTTTCTGCCACAACCCTACCCTCAGCTGGATCCTTCCCATGAGTACCTGGAAGAGCCACCTAAAACCCAGGCCCCCTAGAAGACTCACCTTTCTCTGAATCTTCTTTGCCTTCTTCTCTCCCATCCTCTTTTCCTTCCTCATCCTCTCCTTCCTAATATAATTTTAAAATCCAACTTTAAAGTGTGCAGTTACTTATAATGACTCCAAATAACAAGACCCAGGGCCAGGAGCTGGTGCTGGTCACCCACCACCCATGCACACAGGCGATAACACTGCCTAAGACCCCTGTGGTGAGGCCTGCATTTCAGCTCAGTTTGGTCTTCACAGGCCTCACCTGCAGGGAGAAAAAGCTCAGGGCCAGGGGCCACTTACTGCTCTGGATCCTTTTTCCATAGTGTCGATACCTTCAGTGCCCTCTGCGGCTTCCCCCTCAGTGCCCTCATCTGTAAGGAGAGAGGAGTCAAATTCATCCCAGAGTCTCCACAGAGGCAGGTGAAGGGAAGGAGGCAAGGCCCCGTGCTCACCATTGTCTGAGTCACTGTTCTCTGAGCAGTCCGTCCGGGTAGCTTTGCTGTCCGGCTCGTCAGGACTGCCACCCTGCTTTCTCTTCTTCTTTTTGGTCTGAGCCAGAGAAAGGGAACTGGGTCAGAGGGGATGACTCCACTCCAACCAGAGACCAGGAGGGATAGGCCTCCTCACTTACCCGGAAGTCAGCCGTAGTCCAGGTCTTCCAGGTTCGCCTCATCTGCTTCATGCCATTGCCAAATCCGAAGCCAAAGCGGGAGCCACCTGGGAAGGCGCCCCCGCCACGCATGCCCTGGAACATGCCATACTCAGGGATGATGTTCTGGGAGAAGAGGGAGGGCAGCCGGGAGGCACCAGGCATGCACTGGCCCCGGGCCCCCATGGGATCTTCCCACATGCGCCCATAGCCCGAGGCCATTGGCCTGCCGCTCCGGGCATCCCGGGCCCAGCCCTGAGCCCTTGGACCAAAGGTATCGCCGCCACGCATGCGGAACTGGTCACGGTAGGCATCATACTGGCCCTCATAGGCCATTTCCATCTCAGGGTCAAGCTCGCCATAGTCATAGCCCGACCGGTACAGGTCACGCTCACTCAGGACGGCCCTTGAGTCACAGGCCTCGTAGGAATCATATCTGCAGAGACATGTGGCAAGCATCAGGCAGAGTTCCCTCAGAATTGTTCATATTCAGCTGGCCTTTTGGCCAAGCCAACTGCTCCTGCCATCCTTTCAACCTCCCAGACCAGGGACAGGAAATGCAACTCTAGCACTCACCCTGCCCTGTCAGGGAGACTCAGTGTTTAGAAATGCCAGTTAAAATGTTCTGGACTCTAACAAAGCAGAGAATTTTAGAAGGAGGAAAGGCTTCTCAGATGACATTCTCATAGGGGCCTCACATAGGGGCCACTAAGAAGGACTAACACCTAGCAGGAAAGCTCTAATCCAAGGCCCTATGAGAGGCAAGGCTGCTCCCATGACCCTTAAGAAATCAAAATCCATTTGTGACAGCCACAATGCCCAAGGGTGCTCTTCAGGAGAAGAGGTAAGTATCCCAGCATAATGTATGCTTAGCCACTGAGGCAAATGATGCCCATGAGAAACAATTCAGACTTCATCCTACGTGACTAGGGGGACCCACAAAAACCCTCCAAAGCCCCTCACAATCCAGATGAAATGGGATAAAATGGTGAATGTTTCTTAGTAGACATTGTGACCTTGCCAAAGCGCTGGAAAAGGGCTCTAAACCCTATACAGCAACTGGGAAGGAGGCAAGGACTCCTGCCCAGGAGAGGCAGTTTAACCATAGCGATAGCCCATGCCCCACACCACACAAACCTCACATACACAGGGGACCCTCCTTACATTCTCCTCCCCTAACCTAAGTCCCTAGAAGGCACCAGCAGATACAAGAGAAGCAGCTAGCACTGCCATTCCTCCCCTCGTCCCTGCTCCCTGGGCTCCAAGCTATGGCAAGGTGGTGCATTACAGCGACTCAAGTCCATGCAAGCAAGTTCCCTTGCTCCCTTCCCCAATGGCCCTGGGGCCACACTTGGCCTTACCAGTGACCGCCAGGCCCCTCTTTATTCTCCTCACTAGGGCACAAGTACCCCTAGATGGATACCAGTTCAGTCAATGACAACTACCCATAGACAATGCTTTGCAGTGTGGTATATCTGGGTGCAAGTCCCACCCAGCCCCACCACTTAGTCAAGGGGCCCTTTCTGGCAAAGGGAATGACATGACTGCGCTTTAGTTTCTCCATCTATAAAATGAGGATAGCAAGAGTTCCTCATAAGGATGTTTTCAACAGGTGTACATTTATAAGGCATTGGAAAATGACCAGCAAGTGTCCATTTCTGTCCCTCCTCTGTATGGAACACAGCATAGCTCACAGTGGTCAGTCCCAAGGGCTTGCCCACTGTTCACACAAACCTAACCCGTCCTTGCTCTGTCTTTTTTTTTTTTTTTAAATATTTATTTATTTAGTTAGTTTTCGGCAGACACAACATCTTTGTTTGTATGTGGTGCTGAGGATCGAACCCGGGCCGCACACATGCCAGGCGAGCTTGCTACCGCTTGAGCCACATCCCCAGCCCAACCTTGCTCTGTCTTGCAGGATGCAAAGTCTAGATTGAACACCAAAGTGTTGTCCCAAAGAGAGGGGCTGCTGGACACACTGCTCCTGAGGAGCCATTCTGTGGGTATGATGCAGCCAGGCCAATCCAAACTTGTTCCCTGCCTGAAGCTAGAGAGAAGCTGACCACGAGGGCAACATAGGTCAGAGAAAGGAAGTACAATGGACCCCATTGAGAGCAAAGCACCCAGTAGAACAGAGCAAGGATGGAGAAAAGGGTCACAGAAGCATATTCAACTGAAATGCCAGCAGGCAGGAGATACCCCTGCAGAATCTCAGCTCCTAGGTAAGCCCCTACTCACCTTTCTCCACCTGAGCTGTACACGCCGCCTTGTATCATGTCTGTCTCCAAGTGTGGAACCATATCTAAGCGCTGGTTAATTCTGGATAAAACGGAATCGGCACTGGCGCTACCCGAGGCACTAGGGTTTGCATTTGTGTCAGAGCTAGGCATTTCCCAAGAGTTTGAAGTGGCCATACCATACCCATAGTTGGTGGTGTTATCCTGGCCATAGCCATAGCCATAACCATAATTCTCGTAGCCTGCAGTGGAGGAGACAGAGATAGACAGATGACAGGGCAGGAAGGAGAAGGCAGACCAAAACAAATATACAGAAAAGGGTGTCTCTGTCACAAGAGATAAGCTGGGGACCCTAGCCACCCAAGGGCAGGTGGGCCCCAGCTATTCCAATAAAGATCTTCTCTGATGTAGCAGCTGGCCCCAAAGACACCCAAATCCCCCTTTGGTCAAGCTGGCAGTGGCAGAGAAACAACTGGTTCAATCCTGGGGGAGAGGAGAGTGGTTGCAGGAATGATACTTACCTCTGTTTGTCCCAGAGTTCCAAGTTCCATAGCCTACAAAAAATAAAATTGCAATTACATCTATAATCACTTCCAAAAGAACATGAATTTAACTCAGTTTAATTCACAAATGAAAATAGTTACTCCCACTACCTGACTGGCTGGCTGTAGGACTTCCTCTAACTGAGATAGATGCCTCATGCTAGACAGCCCCCTGCAAATACACCAGGCTATTCGTTGCCCTGGCCCCTGGCAACAAATAGCTCTGAGCATGTGGTATTTTTTTATATATATATAAATATTTATTTTCTAGGTGTAGATGGACACAACACAATGCCTTTATTTTTATGTGGTGCTGAGGATCGAACCCGGGTAAGGCCTGTGCTAGGCGAGCGCTCCACTGCTGAGCCACAATCCCAGCCCCTGAGCTGTGGTATTTAAGGAGTCTCTTGTTCCCAAAACTTTCAACTACTGAACTTGGCTCCTACACTTCTAAATTGAAAAGCTAGAATTAAAACATAACATCCCTCCACCCCTGCCTCCCAAGTACTAATTAGAGGAAGAAGAAAACTGTTTTTGTTTTTTTTTTTTCTCATGTAGACTGCAGGTTAGAGCTCTTGCCTGGCATGCCTGAAGCCCTGGGTTCATAGATAAGACAGATGTCACAGACTGTGTTGTGCAAGAGGCAGCTGGTACAATTGATATCAATGCTGAAATGTCACCCAAATTACCCATCAAGCTACAAGGAGCAGGAAAACAAACCACCCCAGTCCCCCAAATGTCTGCCTAAATAGGGAGGGCCAACAAGCCCTTGAAGTGTATAAGTGTGCTGAGTGGGAGGCACATCACTGAGGGAAAGCCAAGAGCAACTCCTAGCTTGAGAAAAGCCATTGAAAAAACAATCTGGATTATAAGATGATTATGCTCTGGATTCGATAGTAACACGTGATAAAATCCATTCCTTCAGGAGCACAAAGCCACTAAGAACTGACAAGGGGAACTTTGAATAATGTTCCTCAAAGGAGCACATGAGAAAGGTAAATCCACACCCTGTAAATATGGTAAGACCCTCTAGTTCCCTCCTATTACATGTCATCTCTGCCCTACAGACAATCGAGACAAGCTCACCCCAGAGGAGGCTACCAGAGCTTGTTGAAATGGCAGCCTGACAAATGGCAGAATCCAGACCACAGAAGAGAAACAGTGAACTAAAAAGATGAACCAGGAAAATGGTTCTGCATTTGGGTTCCCCTACAACCCAACAAACGCAGAGAATGGAAAGGTGTCAGAAACTAGCCAAAGTACTCTAGATGACTGCTACATTTAATGAACTATGGGTATGAAAGAGCTCACAAAGAAAAAGTCCTCTTTGCGTATGGCAAACAAAACCACGGTTCTACGCAACAACATTTTTTTTTTGGTACCAGAAACTGAACCCGGGGGATGCTCAACCACTGAGCCACATTCTCAGCCCTTTTTTTTTTTGAGATGGGGTTTCGCTAAATTGCCGAGGCTGGCCTCAAGCTTGTGATCCTTCTGTCTCAGCCTCTGGTGCCACTGGTACTACAAGCGTGCACCACCACACCCAGTGGTGTGAGGGTAAGGGTAAAACCAGGGATTGAACCCAGGAGTGCTTTACCACTGAGCTACATACATACCAGAACTTTTTTTCCTTTTTTTAAAAAAATTTTTTTTAGTTGTAGATGGACACAATATCTTTATTTTTATTTATTTATTTTTATGTGGTGCTGAGGATCGAACCCAGGGCCTCATGCATGCAAGGCAAGTACTCTACCACTGAGCTACAAGCCTAGCCCCATACTGAGACCTTTTAAATTTTGAGACAGGGATTCACCAAGTTGCCAAGGCTAGCCTCAAACTTATGATCCTCCTGCCTCAGCCTCCTGAGTAGCTGGGATTATAGGCCACCCAGCAACAACTATCATTCTAAGCAGAGGCTGGCTGTCCCAGACACTGTTCAAACCCAGAATGCTGCTTGACGTTAAGGGAGAGTAACAAGGGATGGCCAGGAGTTGGAAACCTTTTAAAGAAAGGGCAATGAAGGAGCCATTCCCACAAACAAAAGAGAGGCCAGCAAAGCTACACTGTGAACAACTAACAAGAGCCTGGCCTCTGGCTATTTCAAAGGAAGAAGGATTGAGAGAGAAAGGCAGAGTCATTGGGGCTCTGTCTATGAGTCACAATCTGGTCACCTCAGGCTTCAGGTGTTGAGAATCTGATAGAAAGGAGTAAGGAAGCAAACAGTATGGTACATTCTGTGAAAAGCTGCCACTTGAGGAGTCCCTTTGGTCAAGCACTCACTATGTGCTACTTGCTATACCTGGAGCGACCAGGCTCCCAAATGCACTCACCAGCTGGGTCCCTTGGCAAGAGAAAGCCTGTACCTAGACTGATGTTTGGGGACTTGAGGACTCCATAGGACCTGCCAAGTCTGAAAGAAGACCCCAATTCACTCTGTCCCCCGAAAGAATGAGATCATGGACGACAAAGGGAATTTTAAGGACAGTTTTGTTCTTTTTGGCTTTTGTTACTGAACTCTGAGCTAAATCCCCAGACCTTTCCATTGTTTTGTTTTGAGACATTTGAGACATAAATTGCCCAAGCTGACCTTTGAATCTACAATTCTCCTGCCTTGGCCTCCCAAGTAGCTAGGATTATACATGGGCACCACAGTGTCCAGCTACAACTTTTTTCAAAAGAAAAAGGAGGTAGTCACAATAAGCAATACTTACAGACCAAAAACAGAACACAATTTAAATATTCAACTTCCAGGATTACAGCCTACTTACTCAGTGAGAATATAGCCACCAAAACAATTTATAGCCAGGTAGCCAGCCTTGGCAACTTAGACCTCATCTCAAAGTTTATATAAAAACGGCTGGGGATGTGGCTCAGTTAAGCTCCCCAGGTTCAAAATCCCTGGTAACAACAACAAAAACTCCTGTTTTATGTAGCACAAGGAAATGCATCTAACATACGCAAAATAAAGCAGGACACACAACCCTTCCACCTGTAAATTATTCAAACATATAAAATAGGTAAGTTAACGAAGATTAAATATTAAAATGGCAGGATCCCGGTTGACCAATGTTTAAGTGATATTTAAATGTTGTTATATTGTTCCTGCAACTTACAAAGAAAAAAAATTCCATTCAACAATGGTCTATATTAAAACCCTCAAATCTACAAAAGAGAACAAATGAACTTAGCAAGGCTTATTACAAGGTTAACATACAAACTAAATTCAAATACTGTAAATTTATATATATATATATATATATATATATACACACACACACACACACACACACATATACATACATACATATAAATATATACATATATATTGGTGCCAGGAATTGAACCCAGGCGTGCTTTACCACTGAGCCACATCCCCCAATGCTTTTTATTTCTGAGATAGGATCTTGCCAAGTTGCTTAGGGCCTCACTAAGTTGCTACAGCTGGCTTTGAACTTGCAATCCTCCTGCCTCAACCTTCTGAGCTACAGAGATCAAGTCCTGTGCCACCACACCCAGCTAAATTTATAAGTGTCAAATAAAGCCTGGAGTAGTAACACATGCTTGTAATCCCAGTGATTCAGGAGGCTGAAGCAGGAAGATCACAAGTTTGAGGCCAGTCTCATCAATTTAGCAAGACCTTGTCTTCAAAATAAAAAGGGCTGAAGATGTAGCTCAGTGGCAAAGTGTCCCTGGGTTCAAACCCAGATATGATTAAATAAATAAAACATATCAAATACATAAATTGAATAATCATATTTCTACATATTAGCAATTAACAACTGTCAGAAACAAACAAACAAACAAAACCAAAAAAGACAATGACAGGGGCTGGGGATGTGGCTCAAGCGGTAGCGAGCTCGCCTGGCATGTGCGCAGTCCTGGGTTTGATCCTCAGCACCACGTACAAATAAAGATGTTGTGTCCACCAAAAACTAAAAAATAAATATATATATATATATATATATATATATATATTAAAAAAAAGACAATGACAGGGGCTGGGGTTATGGCTCAGTGGTAGAGGACTTGCTTCGCATGTGTGAGGCACTGCGTTCGAGCCTTAGCACTACATGAATAAATACTGTTTGCATCCACAACTAAAAAAAAATTTATAAATTTATTATAGATTAAAAATAAAAGATAATGACAAAGAGTATAGACAAGTTCGTCTGAGAGAAAATATCTGCAAATGGCAAATCTGAGAAAAGGCTTGTATCCAGAATATATAAATCAGATAAAAAAGAAAGTTAAAAAGATGTACCAAGGGCTGAGGATTGACTCAGTGGTAGAGTGCTCGCCTAGCATGCTCTAAGATCCTGGGTTACATGCCCAAACTAAAAAAAAAAAAAAAAAAGATGTGCCATTTGGGACTACATTTGATTTAAAAAAAAGAGGCAGAAAGAGACAACAGGACAGATAAGCCACAAAAACCAAAATTCTCCTCATTTATGAAATATCTGACACTCCTTACCCAATTTCAAAACATTTTTATTCTCTTCCTACCCTGGGACTACTTTCTAATTCACGGGGAGCTTATTTAAGTCCATATATTCAGTGACTCCTGAGGGAATGTCAGTTCAATCTTTCCTTAGACCTTAAGAGTAAAACAAATCACCCACCTCAGTAACCAAGACATTAACCATTCCAAAGAGAACTCCTTTCCTTCTCAACAGACGTCCCTAGGGTCAGAGACCATGGAAAGACAAGCTTTACTGGTGTTCTGGGCTGCTGCTGCACACCAACAGAACAGCACCTCTGAATCTTGTTGGATGGCTATTTCTGAATTAGAGAATTAAGTTTGTCTGTCCACAATTGAGAAATCAACTGGACAATTTTATTTAACGCTGTATGTGTGTGGAGGTCACTGGCTTAAGGTGGCCTGACTGCAATCTCTAAAAGCCAACTAGATTCAAACAGCCTCTCCCCCAGAGTGGGCACGAGTACCACCCTGGGGTAAGTTAAAAGCTCAGTTTCTCCTGGAAACTCAGTAAAAAGCTCAGTTTCTAATCATTTAGACTTTGATTGGCTACTTTCCTTTCCAGGTTCTCAAGGAGAATTTTCTGAAGACAGATCTTTAGTCGAAGACCATAGGTACTTACTTCTATAAAATGTTTAAGGGCCAAAGAAACTAATCATTTATACTCTGGCTTGTTCAGTAACACAGACATTGTTATCCTAATTGCCAAAAGGAAGCACTAGCTATTCACATGGCCCACTGTAACACTTGATACAAGTTTGGGTTTAGTAAAGGAAGACAGACTGACAGTAAAGTCCAAGGCAACAAAGACAACACTGCTGATAAAAGGCAGAACACTCTGGTTCCCACTAGGAGCCCACACTTACCATAATCACAGGTGGGTTGAGCGCTGGTATCTGAATATGTCGACTGCAAAGTGGTTTCAGATCCCTGGACAAAGCCTAAACATATACACAGTGTGGTTAATTTCTCCGAACAAATCACAGAAAAATGACTAACACTTTCCTCTACAGTACAGACGAAGCCCTCCATCCAGTTGGAAAACCACCCAAACCTCTGAATTCCATGTTGTATTTATTTTTTATTGTTTTGGTACCAGGGATTGAACCCAGGGGCACTTAACCACTGAACCTCATCCCCAGCTCTTTTTGTTTTTTATTTAGAGACAGAGCTGAGGCTGTCTTTGAACTTGCAATCCTCCTGCCTCAGTCTCCCAAGCTACTGGAGCTCCCAGCTATATTCTATGTTCTAATCAGATCTCTGGAACATATTAACCAATGGATGGTAGGCTATGTTTAACTTGCTGCACCAGAAGGACTAGATAAAAACTTTAAACATTTAAGCCGGTAACCCATTTTGCCAAATGAATACTCAAATTATCATTCAGTTCAATCAGGAAAATACTTTTTACCAAATCACTGTAAAATATGCTACTTCCAATTCAAACAAGGATGATGGTTAGTTTTGAAGTGATATTAAAGCAAATGCCTCCTCCTCCTAATCTAAATCTGAAACAGAAACTACTTTATATTTTAGGTTTTCCATTTAAGAAAGTGTATATGTTGGGTTTAATGGCACACACCTACAATCCCAACAACTTGGGAGACTAAGGCAGGAGGATTCCAAGTTTGAGGACAGCCAGAGTAACTTAATGAGGCTCTGTCTCAAAATAATACATAAAAAGGGTCCAGGGATGTAACTCAGTGGTAAAGTGCTCCTGGGTTCAATACAGAGTGCCACCAAAAAAGAAGAAGAAAAACAGTGTTTATTACCTTTTTTTTCTTTTGGTCATGGTGCTTGAGATCAAACCCAGGGCCTCATTTTACCTCTGAGCTGCACCTCCAGTCCCTGTTATTTCTCAGGTGTAATTATCTGGAGCTGGCATGCTTACAAGGAAATATTAAGTATCAAACTGCATACAGGCTGAGCATTCCTAATCTGAAATGCTTCAAAATCTGAAAACTTCTTGAGCATCAATAACAATGGCACAAGTGGCAAATTCCACATCTGACCTCCTATGTGACAGATCATGGTCAAAATGAAGGTACACTACAAAATCACCTTCAGGCTAAGTATCAAGAGGCATATGAAACAAATGAATTTCACATTTAGATTTAAGTACCATTCCAAGATATAAAGTATATGCAAATATTCCAAAATCCAAAAAAATCTGAAATCTGAAACACTTCTGATCCCAAGTGTTAGACAAGGGATACTCAACCTGTAGTGGTATGAAATACTTTCTTTTCTCGCTCTAAAACTATATCTTCATTTAAAAGGAATTAGTATCAAGTAAGGAAAATTTGACCCTCTATCAAGAACCACTACTCTTAAAGACTGATTATAACAAACTATGATTGATCCTAACACTTGATTTAAAACTATATTTTAGTCGCTGCAACCCCAGTGACTTGGAGTTAGCCTGGGCAATTTAGTGAGACAATCTCAGAATAAAAATGAAAAGGGCTAGGAATGTAGCTCAGTGGTAAAGTGTCACTGGATTCAATCCCTAGCACCCTCTTCCCAATCACACAAACAAATAAGAAAAAAAGATTTACTTTTAGCACTGAAATTATGATAAATGACATGAAAGGAAACAGGCAATATTTGCCTCTTTTCATTGGAGACAGTCCATGATCTGAAAATTAAAGTCAAACCCTCAAAAGCTTATTTACGTTAAAAATACAAAACCCCTGGGCTGGGGATGTGGCTCAAGCAGTAGCGCACTCGCCTGGCATGCGTGCGGCCCAGGTTCGATCCTCAGCACCACATACAAACAAAGATGTTGTGTCCGCCGAAAACTAAAAAATAAATATTAAAAAAAATTCTCTCTCTCTTAAAAAAAAAAAAGAAAAACAAAAACAAAACAAAACCAAGTACCTCCCCTTGGCAGACATTCTCACATTTGTTGACAGTCTCTATTTCATCTCTTAAGATCTTAACAACAACGATAACAGCAAAAAGCAGCCAACACTGAACAAGTGCTTCCCCTGCAGGGTGCTAAGAGTTTTGTCTGAGTATCTCATTCCATCTTCACGGCAGCCAACAGAAGAGTACCAGGCAAGATCCCTTAACCTGCAATTCCCAAGGTCCAAAAAAGATCTGCAAACCTACTCTTTCCCACATATATGTCAAAACCCATGTAGAGGTAAACAGAGCTGTGGGACATCTACAATCTTTCTTTAGCCTAGTTGGTGCAGAATTAATGTGTTGTTTGTTTTATGATGCTGGGATGAACCCATTTAAAATATATTTAAAGTATACTCCTGTATACTTTAATACAACATAAATGCTACGTAGTTACACCACATTGTTTAGGAAATAATAAGAAAAAAATTATCTGTACATATTCAGTACAGATGCAATTATTTTTCCTGAATGTTTTCAATCTTCTGTTAGTTAAATCCACAGATACAGAAACTGAGGAAACAGAGAGATGACCATACTGCAACTCCAATGGGGAACCTACCACACCCTGATAAAAATACATACTAGATTGCAGTACATAATCTATAGAGTAAGAGATCTGTAGATTGCAGTACATAAGTAAGAGATCTGTTGATTCAGGAGAGGAGCCCTATTTCTCCCTGAGAATAAAGAAAAGATAGGGCTTGGGGATGGGGCTCAGTGGTAGATCACTTGCCTAGAATATTCAAGGTCCTGGGTAGGATCCCCAGTATCACCAAGAAGAGAAAAAGAAGTCAATCCAGCAAACTTATCAAACCTCCAGAGGCCAATAGCAACATCTGCTCTACACTGTGCTACCCACATTAATATTCTATCCCACAACACTGTCTCTGGGGAAGTCTTTTTTTAGCCAGTCATGAATAAATTTTTATTGTGTGCATAAAGTGTTTTCTTCTTCTTTCAATTTTACAGACTGATCAGCTCTGGGGTAAAAAATAAGTTCTGGATGGTCCTGTAAAGCTAAGGGTTAGACCACGGAATGCAAATTTGGCAATATAACCCTTCCCTCTTAGCAGCCTTAAAAATACAAAAGTATCTCTAGTTTAATTCCTTTTCTTTTTTAAAAAAATATTTTTTAGTTATAGATGTATTATTTTTATGTGGTGCTGAGGATTGAACCCAGAGCCTCATGCGTGCGAGGCAAGCGCTCTATCATTGAGCTACAATCCCAGCCCACCCCCCTTTTTAAAAGAGTATTCTTTGAAAAAAATGACATAGAGTGACAAAATTTAGGACAATTAAACTTGGTTAGGTTGCTTCCAACCTCAACTAACTGAGCCGAAAACGGCAATAACCAGCCTCCAAGATGACCTCCAATGATTCTTATGTCCTGGGGTGATATAGTCCCCTTCCAAAGAAACAGAAGTAGCCAGTATGACCAATATGATTAAGGGGAATGACTGAGTTACTTCTCTTTTGCTTTTGGTACTTGGATTGAATCCAGGGGTGCTCAACCGCTGAGCTCAACCCCAAACCTTTTTTTATATTTTATTTAGACACAGGGTCTCATTAAGTTGCTTAGGGCCTTGCTAAGTTGCTGAACTGGCTTTTCTCATGATCCTCCTGCTGCAGCCTCCTGAGCCGTTGGGATTATGGGCACACACCACTGCTCCCGGCTGAGTGACTTCTTAAAGACTTCTGCTTTGCTCCTTCTTGGATCATTTGTTAGGTTTCTTCCAGCTCTACAGAGAGCTCCATATGGTAAGGAACCACTGCCAGCATCAATCTGCTAGACACAGGAGTTTTGAGTCACCCTGGAGGCAAGGCCTCCACCACAGGCAAGCTTTCAGATTGATTGTCTCAACTGACATCCAAAATGCAACCTAAATGTAACCCAAGCTACAACCACTCAGCTAAACCACTTGTGCATTCCTAACACAATGCAACTGTGAGTGATAATGTTTCTAAAAAGATGGCAGCATTTCAGACCTTTGTTTGAAAGCCTGATTCCAGAATTTTTTTCTGCCCTATTTTTTCTACTGCTCCCATTTTCATTCTCCCTAAAGAGGGAGACACCCTTCCCAAGTATAAATAAAGGAAAGGAGTTCACAAGCTTGATAAGTTAACAAAAAGATAATTATTTCTGTCACCTTTTGTGTTTTTTAAAAATATTTTTTAGTCATTGATGGACCTTTATTTATTTATTTGTATGTGGTGCTGAGAATTGAACCCAGGGCCTCACATGTGCTAGGCAAGCACTCTACCTCTGAGCCACCACTCCAGTCCCATCCTTTTATGCTTAATAATAATGGTAACATTTGCTTCAAGGCTTTCAGGGCTTATCCTTAAAGCAGTCACCTGAAATGTGACTTAAAATGCCTTTGAATTTAGTGATCTGCTTCTTCCTCTTTTTTTTTTTTTTTTTTGGACTGGAGATGGAACCCAGGGCCTCACACATGCTACATGCTATACAACTCTCCTCACTGAGCTACACCCCCAACCCTGACGTACTTCTTAAAAAGAAAAGACCAACATTATAAAGCTACTGCAGTTTTCATCTTATCAATATTAAGAAAAAAAAATAATCAGTAGCTTATTAGTCTATAAGATCTGGAGCTAAAATTCAGGCTTAGCCATTAGTGACTTCTCTGATTCAGTTCCCTCATCTATAAAAATTAATGCTCCATTATTAAGCTAGCCCACAGCATTCAACCCTTCATTTGGAATCTTCTGCAGTCCTGCCCCTAAATTCCATAGAACCATCTTCAGTTCTTGGTAACACTTGGAGACAAGAATTACAACTCAATTTCAGAGAGGTCAGCAACAGCCCTGACTTTCCTCAAACTAGAAATGCTACAAAAAGGCTGCAGCACAGCTTGCCTAATCTTGGCACCACGGATGTATGGGACCAGTAGTGGTGGGGCACTTACTGTGCATTGTAGAATGCTGAGCATCATCACTGGCCTCTATCCACTAGATGTCAGTAGAACCCCCCTACTCCTAGAGACAACCAGACATTGCCAAATTGGGGGTGAGGAGGAAGGGTCAGGATCAACCTAGTTGAAAACTACAGAGCTAGGAGATGGCTGCTAGAAACACTGGGGTTCTTGACAAGTTCTTGACCTGGGGGCCAGAACAGGGAGAACCGGTACATATAGTAGCCAACATTATGTGGCATAGGTCAACATAGAGTAGCCTACAAAGAAGCTAGAGACTGAAGTTCCATTCTCAGTCTTGAACATTCTGAGTAGAATGCAGGTTACCCAGCAACCACATATGCTCAAGCCTCAAATACCTCCCCTAAGGGGAGGTCCAGTCTATGGTGCTGAGAAACCTCAATGGTCACTGCCAAGGCAAACTCAGGTGGCCTTGGCAATTTCCCCAGGGATGATTTAGGATTGCCAAAACATACCTCTGCCTCATCCCCTCTATGGTTTCATCCTCCACCTTCCTCTATGCTCAAATCCCACTGGTCTCCTTGGCAGATCAACAAGTCAAGCAGTTCATGCCCTGGGGCCTTTTACAACAACAGCTTCCTGGACCAACAATCTTTACTCTCTTCCACTCCACTTAGTATCTGCTTAACCCTCACGTCTATACAAAGGTCTCCATGCTCTCCATATAATGTATCAACCATTTCAGAGTACTGACCATCAGAATACTGTCTGTGCTTATTTATTTGCCTGTTAAGGTCTACCCTCGTCTCTAAGTTGCTTTAAGAATTCTTGTCAGCATTCCCAGTGCCCATTCTGCACCTGACACGGTAAATTTGACAGATACTGAGTGAATCATTTGGAAGTTAGCCTTTCCTTGCCAAGGCTAAGCTTAGTCCCTAAGGACCCAAAGTCCCCCACTCAACCCAAACCCTTCAAATATTTACGTATTCCCCTGGGGCCTGGCTCCTCTCCCAGCTCCCAAGCGGGCTAAGGAGAGTGGGATGGGGAAGTAGCTGCGGCATTTTGCCGCAAAACTGCGTAGGGGAGGGGACGCAATGGCGACGGCAGCGGAGCCCGCAGACTGATCTGACAGGCCAAGGCCTTAAAAACGACGACTGGAGGCGTCGAGGTTCAAGACGCACCGGCCAGGGATGGAGGTCATGAGAACCTAGACCTCAGCGCCAAGGTTTCGGGGCCTATAGAGACAGACAACAGAAGCCAAGACCTCGGGCGGCCAAGATCCAAGACGCCAATCTACAAGCACAGCAAACCAAGGCGCCGTGACGAGAGGGGCGCGACTCTGAAGCTACGGGCCCAAGACGCCATTTTGTGACCGCAGAGGGCAGTGACCCCAGCGCCAGGGGAGGCGTGGGCGAGTCTGGCACGGCACCGGCATGTCCCTGTCGCGCCCACCACCCCGGGCGCGACCCCCACCCTGCCGGGCCCACCTGTGTAGCTCATGGCGGCGGCGAACACTACATCTGAACACTCCGGGGAGCTGCTCTGCGCGTCTGACGCCGCAATAGCGGCGACAATCCCCCGGGCCCCGTCTACACACACCACAGTCCCGCCTCTCGACCGCATTGGCTCGTGCCAGCCGCGGACTTCGCGTCCATTTGACTGTCTTGCTGTCTATCTCAGAATCTCCTCGTACCAGTGGCTTAAGACCCTGCCAATCTCAGTAAGGCCCCGCCCCTTACCCGCCTCCCGTTATTCCAAGCCAGCGTTGATTGGTCGAAAGGAGCCGGTGGAGAGGTGGAGTTCCGCGGGGTTCGGAGAGGAGGAGCATACACTACGGAAAGACCCGAGGCCCAAGAGCGGTCGCACTTAAGAAGTGCGTGTGCGGTTGGAGACGCGCCTGAGGGAACGGATTCTACCACGCAGAACACTTTCCAAGTCCCAACTGTGCTATCGAAGTACTGAGCCGACCTGTGCTAAATTTATATACTTCTCTGGACTTCGGCTCCGAAACAAGCATGGTTAAGTCATACTGGAATGAGAAAATTAAGACTAAGTGGCAAATTTTACATGAAATAATATATGTAAAGAAATCATTCTGGTGCCAGATGCACTAGATAATTGCTACATTTTCTTTTTGCTGCATAACAATCAACAGATTTGTAGGGGATGAGGGTGTAGCTCAGTGGTCGAGCGCTTGTCTAGTATGCTTGGAGCCCTAAATCGACACCCAACACCTCACATTTAAAAAATATATGTATGTACATGAATATGATATATATTTATGTAAAAGATGAAATACATCTATTTGTATTATCTAACCTCAAATGTTCCCTCAAACCTGCAAGGATTTTTTTTATCCTTATTTAAAGCATAATAATTTAAAAAATAAAATGGGAACTTTGAATTCCTGATTTCCTCAAGGTCCTTGATGCTTAAATGTTAAAAAATGGAATGTCTCTTCTAAACCCCTTCTGAACTTTAAAGACTCTATGATAGTGCTGGCTACAGCTGGGGGTGTAGCTCAGTGGTAGAGCACTCACCTAGTATTCAGGAGAGCCTATGTTTGATGCCTGGCAACAACCCCCAACACACACAGTACAGCCCAGGGCCAGGTTTGCCCTCAGCATTATCCTTAGGTATGTGGGAACCACTGTTAAGGACATCTCATAATTTCTGAGAGATAACTTGACAGAACCAGACACTGAAAATGGTATTTAGCATGTTTGTGAAAGTCACCAAGGAGTGCAATTATGACTTGTGCACTTTTTGGTGTGCTTTAAAGTTTTGTTTTTTTAAGGTATACTGTTGCTTTTAAAATTTTTTTTTTTTTTAGTTGTTGATGGACCTTCATTTTATTATGTGGTGCTGAGAATCGAACCCAGTGCCTCATGCATGAGGCAAGCACTCTACCACTGAGGCACAACCCCAGCCCTGCTATTGTTACTTTTGGATATTTAAAAATGATTGTCACTTTAGGAGTAATGATGGCATTTTGAAGTCCTTATTTTTCAGAGAAACATACTGAAATATTAGAGAATAATTGAACCAATGGCCAGGATATGCTTCACTTGTAATTTATGTGGGGAAAGGAAGAAATGGGAGGTAGGCAGAGGGCTATAGATAAGTTCGTGAGTTATAACTCATGAATTAATAATTCCTGATAACAATTAATGAGGGTTCATTTTATTATCTTTTATATGGTTGAAATTGTGCATGAATGTTTTGATAGCATACCTCCTCCCAGAATGGAGCGTACGCAGAACTCATTGCCCCATGGAAAAACCATTTAGGATACATTAGATGAAAAACTCCACATAGGAAGCACAGGGCTCTCATTGATGTGCACTAGTTTGAGGTCCATCTTTGTAATCCTTGGGGATGCCTGCCTGGCCTCCAAACTATGTCAAGTTCCTAGGACACCTCTCCTACATCCTACAGCTTTCATTGTGGAACTTGCCACAGCCATCATTCACTGATTTGAAGATTTTAACATCCAACACCTTGACAGGCTGAGAGTGAGCAGTTCAAAGGCCAAGACTGTACTTTGTTGGAAAGTAGAATGGCTTAAGCAGGGAAGAACCATGCTCAGAAGTTTTAGGAAAAGACTTTCCATGGCAAGAATTATAGGTGACCCTCACAAAGACAGGCAGAGTTATTAGTGTACAATGGCAGGTGAGGAGGGGTTTCCCACGTTACTTTAATATGAACTTGTATTATCTGAACTTTTTTTACATTCACCCACCATTTTATATTTTATCCTTTTGTGGTACAAAGACTAAACCTAGGTGCTCTACCACCAAGCTACATACCCAGCCTTATTTTTTATTGAGACAGGGTCTGGCTTAAGTTGCCCCAGCTGGCCTTGAACGTGTGATCCTCCAGTCTCTGCCTCCAGGATAACTGAGGTTACAGACTTGCCTAGCTCATTTTATATTTTTTTAAAAAGTTGAAAAGGAAGCAACATTGGATCAGCTCTCCTTTCACAAATACACCCTCCTTGCTTCCCAAGTCTTGATTATATCCACCCAGTGCTAGATGGGAAGCACCATCAGGTAAGAGAAGCTTGGGGGCCCAGACCACCTGTGTGAGCATGTTATTGCCACCTGTTAAAGCTTCCTTCCCAGGGGTGGGCACAGCACAAAGGATCAAGGAAAAACAGGGTTAGGGTAGATGAGGCCCCTGCAATCCACACCTCATGAGATCATTTCCACTTGGCTTTTCAGTGAAAACAGTGAGCTGAAAACTACATGCAATGAACAAGGAGGGGCAGCCAACAAAATCTTAAGTCTCAGAAAATGTTCAATAAACATTTGCCAAGCAGGAAAATATCACAACGGAGTTAGTAGCTCCCCCTTCTTCCTCTGGTGTTACTTGGGTTTGGGGTGCAGTGTCTCATACAAATCATGTTTTAGGGCTGTAGCATTCAGTGCTAGAGTAGTGCTTACCTAGCACTTGTAAGGCCCTAGGTGAAATCCCCAGCAGCACCCCCACCACCACCAAAAAAAAAGTTTCATGTTTTAAAGGCAAGTGAATTCCAGCTCTCTGCACCCTACCAACCCACCTCCCCCCACAAATGCTTCCAGTAGCTGTGTGCTGCTTCTTACCCCCCACCCCACTGCATCTCCAACTCCCTCCGTGGACAGCTCCTACCCTTGGAAAGCTCTTTCTAGCCTCAATCGTTTCTTGATCTTGGCTCCCTTCCCAGACCAGCTGCCCAGAGCCCTGGTTTCTCTGCTCACAGAAGCCATTTCACCAGCCAGCAAGTTCCCCACCAACAGTGGCATCAAAGCCAACAGCTGGGAACTTGGTCATCCCCAGCTGTGTCTGGCCGACTTGGCGGCCAAAGGGGAAATTCAGGGCCTCCAGGGCTGTGAGCAGTGGATGAGGCCCTTATCCCAGCCCCGGCTACCGGCCAATGCCAGCCTGTCCACTAGACAGAAAAACACACGCTGGCCGCCTGCCCCGGGGTGTTTCCAGAAGAGAAATTTAATCTAATTTACATACTTCTAGGTACATCGATAACCAAAAGGTGGCCACTGAAAAAAGTTAAAAGGTCAATCTGCTCCCGGTATCTAGCTGGCCCAGGATTGCAAAATAAAAAGATCCACGTTCCTTCTTCTCTACACAAAACGCGTTTTTAAAAAAGTGAAAGATCTAGGGAGCTATACATAGAAAGCAACAGTGAAAAGGGGGAGGGAGGGAGGGATGGGGGAGGAGAGTCCCATCCCCCCCCACCCTCCGGCCCTGGAGCCCCTGAGGCTCTGGGGGGCCTTGACATGGCAGGAGGCAGCTGTCAGCTCTGAGCTCTTCCCCAGCTAGGAAGGCCCCTCTGGGGGGCAACCAACAAGGATTTCCGTGGCATTGTGGGCTCAACGGGGGCTCCCAGGCCCAAGCGGGTCAACAGAGGGAGCGTAGTTTCCCCTGAGCAAGCACCGTGGCATGATGTGATCGTTTAACTCGGGAACTGGGGGGCTAGGGCAGATCCCGGGTCTCACGAGGTGCGTGTGTGCGTGTATGTTTGCATGTGCGTGTGTGAGAGGATATTCATGGGGACAAAAGGGGACCAGAACAGGAGTCTTTGGGGTCTCTGCAAATGGCCATGGATGGCAGAAATAGCCCTGTCTGGCTGCTAGACATGGGGTAATGCTGTCCTCCCCTGTGAACAGATCAGCTGCCACCAGGGACTGGCTGCTACCCCTGTGGAAGACACCCTTGTGGCCCCAGAGTCCTCAGGCTGGGGGAAGGGTGGCTAGCTGGCTCCCGGCGCCCATCTGTAGTGTGCCCGGCCCCCGAGGGACACCGGTTTGAGGTTTTGGCTTGCTCCTTTGGAAACGGAAAAGAAAGGAAGAGAGGGAAGAGGACGTAGAGGAGAAACAGTAGACAGAGGTGGCACAAGAGGAAATCTGGAATGCTTTTGTTAGGGTGCCTCTGCCGCTGCTGTCTGTGCCTGTGGGGCTTGGGGCTCCTCAGGTGCAGGGTCTGCTTTGGAGAAATTCATCTCCAGGATGTGCCGCTGTAAGTGTCGTACCCACTCTTCCTGGATGGAGAGGGGGCCCTGGAATTCCACTTCACAGAACCTGTGTGGGAGAACAGGAAGAGGGAGAGGCTGCTGCCATGAGGACAGAACACATCCCTGACACACCTGCTACTACTCAGATAAACAGATCAAATTCAAGATTTGAGGGAAGAGGGGTCCAGAAGCCATGTGTCTCTCTGTGGACGGTCACCTCGATTCATCATGGGGCTCTGGCAGGGTCCCCTGGAGATGAAGTCACTGGTGCTGGGTAAGAGACCTCCTGCTTCCCAAGTACCTCTACCATCTGTCTAATGCATATGATCTGAGATGGTAGAAGGTACAGAGAAGCAGAGTCTACCCAACTCACCAGGCCCCTCTTCTTCTTGTCAAGCCAGCATCAACAAGGCCTCATAACATAGGGTCCCAAAGACTTGGATTTAAATCCTACTCTCACTTGGCCTGTATGGCCTGAGTTGAGTCACCTCATCTCAAGATTCCCTGTTTCCTGGTCTCTGATGTATGTTTGGACTTTGGTAAGAATTAACTAAGACCTATTTTTTCTTAATCAGACACATATATGTTGAGGGCTTACCAAGTGCCAGGCACAGTTCTCAGT